ACTACCTAAAAGCCAAAATCACTTTCATCATTCTCAAAGCCCAAAAACAGTGGCATCAACATCATCAATTTCCCTTCATTCTCATCCATTTTTTAATCGCCATAAACATCATCAACCAAACTGAATGTCAAAAACAACAACAACAATGGTAGTACATGCATCGATAAGAAACGAAGATCAAAACTACCACCCAGATTATATATATATATATATATATATAAATTAGTTACATATTCCTGATGCAAGAACAAAGAAGGAGGAAGCTTATCCAAGGCGGATCTACCAGGGCTGAAGAAGGAGGAAGTGAAGGTGGAGATCGGGGACGATAGGGTTTTGCAGATTAGCGAAGAGAAGAAGGTTGAGAAGGAGGAGAAGAACGATACTTGAGGCAGATTAGCGCCATTCTTCAAAGTTCTTCAAAGTTGAACAAAAAATGAAATGAGTCTGAGAGAGAGATAAGGTAGGTAGGGTTTTCTTTAGATTTAATCTGAGGGTACACATAAAAGATGTTAATCCAACGGTGAAAGACTAACCAAAAAATAAATAAATAAATAAAAATTAAGAATAACTCTTTTATTTAATTTATATATATTATATAATTTATATAATATATTAAATTCAATTTGGCTTCGAGTTGCTCGGGTTGGCCTTTGGTTCTACCCAAGCCGGCCCAAATTACAATTCGGGCATCAAAAATCTACCCTGGCCCGTCCAGATTACAAGATATAGTTTCCCAAGCCCTAAAAAAACTCAGGCTAGGCTCGGGTTGCTCGAGTTGAGCCCGCCCGAGTTGAACCCCTTTCTGCCGGTACTCTCCATTTGAGTTCCCCCTTTTGGTTGTGTGGTCGGAAATCAACACCCAGAATTTGCCGTCGTCTGTGGGAAGGAAAGGAGAATAGATGGCCAACGACGGACATAAAGAGAAGGTTGGAGGCGACACCCCTACTGAGAGTGGGAAACATATTGACCTTGACGTCGAAGAAGACAACTGCAACGAAGAGACTCGTGATAAGAATCACAAAGGAAAGAACGTTGGCCAGGAGGGCGGTGTACCGAAGAAATCAGACCGGAGCGGATATTATAACGAGGACGACCTCCAGGTATAGAAAGATAGATGCCTGCGGAGGGACGATGAGATGAAGAGAATGGCGGACAAATTGGCAGACCTGCAAACGATCGTCAATTTCCTGATGCAGAACAACATCATGCAGTCACTGTTCTTGCTACAAGATACGCGGATTCCAATGGCCAAGAAAGGTGTCCAGAAAGAGGGGCAGAAAACGGTTCCTGCAGTCCCTCAGCATGGTGAGACCAAGGGACAATCTCACCAGCCTTCGCGGGAGGTCAGGCATGGAGAATCTCAGAAGACACGATCTTAGCCTAGATGATTAGGTCCGAGAAGAGAAGAGTTCAGCCTAAAGTGAGCAGATCCCAGATTTCAGAAGACAAGATCTCGGCCTAGATGATTAGGTCCGAGAAGAGAAGAGCTCAGCCTAAAGTGAGCAGATTCCAGATTCCAACAAACAAGAGACCAAGGTCATGTTTAACACTTATTGAAATTTTAAATTTACAAGTTGAAGTTAAATCGAGGATGTGTTTAACACTTGTTGAAATTTAAATTTACAAATTGAAATTAAACCGAGGATGTGTTTAACACTTGTTGAAATTTAAATTTACAAGTTGAAGTTAAACCGAGGACGTGTTTAACACTTGTTGAAATTTAAATTTACAAGTTGAAGTTAAATCGATGACGTGTTTAACACTTGTTGAAATTTTAAATTTACAAGTTGAAGTTAAACCGATGACATGTTTAACACTTGTCGAGGTCATGTTTAACACTTGTTGAAAATTTAAGAAAAATTTACAAGCTGAAGTTAAACCGGGGTTATGATTAAAGGAATGAATAATATAGGTTCAATCACCTCTGGATGCCGAGGTAATAGAACCTAGAGGGCAGTTGTGGGGACATAATTTTTGAATGACGAACACTTGGCCGATGTGGCACTAAACTGCCAGCCGAGGTGCCACGTGTCCTGGTCATGATGCCGAGGTAATCTTGGCTAAGCCGAGGTTATCTGCGAGAATACCAAAATCCGGGATAAGGGACAAGAGTCCTAGAATAAGAGGGGACTTCAGTTTGGGTAAAGATAAGACTCTTAGAAAGTTTATCCTAATCCTACTAGGAGTCCAAGATTAGCAGTAATCCTGAGTCCATTGAAGCTAAGCTTCTATCGGGACTAGGATTGTGTTGGCTACAAAAGCGAGGCACCCCCATGGGTCTAAGGTATGTCTTTTATGCTCTGTCTAGTGAGTTAAGCACTACTGGTTATCTTTGAGAGATATTTTACTGACTTGATCGTCGGAATGCCCCCAGGTGGACGAACCACCGCGGGATTCTTATCTTTATGTGACAGGTTGTTCGAGCTTAATCTATTCTGTCGATGTTCTCCAGTTGAGTACTAAGTTTGACAATGTGCTCAGAAATCGACACACACAATTACATAAAGGTCATTGGTTAATACTCAATGTAAAAGCTTGAGAATTTTGAGAAAATATTAAATGTGGAATACCACATCACATATTACCATATCTTAATTATATTAGTGACAGGTAAGACTTGTTTATTTAATTTTATAAAGAGTATAACTATTTAAGATAAAATATGATACTCAATTTTTAAATTCAGTAATATGATAATCAATTAGAATATTAAAAGTAATATTTTTTCTCATATTTTCTCTAATTATCAACTAATCATATCACTTACACATCATTAACTCTATAAAATGAGTCTAAGAAATAGATTTATATTAGAGGTGATCATGAAGCCGGCCAACCTGCTCAACCCGACCGAATTGACCAAATCCGATTGATTTTGGACAAATGTGTGTCTTTCGGCTAATGGATGCGGATGAAATATTTCAAAATCCGTGGATAAGGTTTGGATAGCAGATCAACCATCTCACACCCGCATGAAACCGATCCGCTCGTAGATGAAGTTCAAAAAAAAAAAAAAAAGGAGGAGAAAGAAATTGCTAACAAGTAATAACATAGAGTAGAAATAATAAAATATATTTTTGTGAAAATGAAAAACAGTACCTTAAAAATATATATGTGTGGTGCCATGACTTATTATAAATAAATAATGCATATTTTTTTTCAGTTTACTAGTTATTGGCGATTGTAAAAGTTATGAATTATAATTCAAAAAAAAAAAATGTCTAAAATTTGTAAAGTCTAATCCACCAAACTGATTGCATCCATTCGCCAATCAGCACGGCTTACTCAATCCGCATCCACCAAACCGGTGGATGGATGTGGTTAATTTTTTTCAATCCACTTAATTTTAAACTGATGACGAATGGGATGCCACTTAACTCAATCCAATTCGCGATTCCTAAAAATTATTATATTTAATATTTGTTCCATGACTTTTGATGTCATAGATTTTCCTTTCCAGTTAAAGTAAAATTTTAGAGAAAAAAATAGTAAAAATCTCATTTTTATGCATATTTATGATATTAGGTTAAAAAATTGATCTATTTTGTTCGTAAATGACATAATAATAATAAATTATGAAAAATAATTTATTATTTTTAAAAAAAATGTTTTCATTTTTACCCTTTCACACACCAACACCACCGAACACTCCATGGATAATCGTGAAAAAATTGTTATTGATGGTTGTAATAATTTATACAAATAAGCAAATTATATAAACAGATGAGAAATATGGGACATATAGGCAAATAAATAAATAAGTGACACAATGTCAATGGATAGATTGCAATTGAACACATTTAGCAATTAGTCCCGTTTTGTAGCTCAAATTTCATTTGGCTTGAGTGGCCCAGCTACCAAAACGACGTCGTTTTGGATTTTTTTATTTTTTTTGCAGAAGAAGAAGAAGAGGAGAAGAGAAGAGGAAGCTGAGAGCATGTCATCATCATCATCATCATCATCATCATCATCATCAACAACATATCATCATCAACAACAAACAGAACACAGAGAGAGAAAGAGAGATAGATCTATACACATTATCATCAACACAGAGAGAGAAAGAGATAGATCTATACACACACACAGAATAGAAAGAGAGAGATCTATACACACACACAGAAAAGACATACACAGATCTGTGTATCTGTATATACACAGATCTATTGATGATGTCGCTGGTGATGACGGTGATGGCGCCGGTAATGGTTCTTATCTCTCATCTCTTCTCTTCTCTTCCTCTTCTCTCCCCTCTCTCTCTCTTTTCTGTCTCTCTATATTCGAAAAGCAAGAAAAAGAAGAGGGGAAAAAAAAAAGAGCCTAAAACGATATCGTTTTGGGTTTCGAGCCAATTTGAGCCACCGAATTTCGAGCTATCAAGGATTATTCTTTAGCAATGGGTTGAGTCTCAAATTTTTAAGTGGGGTTACCTATATTAATTAGTGTATTAATATTAGTTATAATATTATTATTGACTTATTCATTATACAAATTATAAATATGACAAATGATTTAAATTATGTCACAACATCAATTGGTACACTGGTTAGTGCATTAATTAGTGAGAAATGCTATGTATTCCAAATATTCTATCAAATATTTTACCAAATCTCTCACATGAGGTGAGACTCACACAAATTCATATATGTATGGGTCCCACAGCCATGTGAGAGGTTGATAAAATATTTGATAGAATAATACATATGACATTAGTCCAAATTTTTTAATAACAGATGATATGGCATAATTTCATTGGCTAGTCTAATTACATTAATGGGTGGTTTGAGATGATCTAAATAAGTGTATTTTTTGAATTTTTATTAAATATAAATTAGGTATAAATTGAATTTAAAGTGATGTGATAGAGAAATAATATAATTTAAATAAGGTAATGACTTTTGAATTATTATTATTTTTAATTTTAAATTACTACAAATAAGGTCTATGAATGCAAGTGGAAAACAACAAAGCAGGGTAGACTATTATCAAATGCCAATTCCTATTTCCCTTTCGATTTCCACCCGAACCAGCCTAACGACAACCATATATATATAGATATATACGTATGTATTGATTTTGTACTTTCTTCATTCCCTCTGTCCTCTCTCCCTCTCTCACTCTCTCTAAAAACCCTAATCCTCCCTCTCCCTCTCTCTCTGATGAACTAATCGAATCTTCAAGGTACTCTCTTTGATTTCTGCTTTCGAATCTTTAATCAATTTCTGGTTTTTTTTTTTTAATTTATTATTATTTTGAATTCTGCCCTGTATCAATCTTTTATCGATCGATGCAATCGGTTCGTTGTTTGTTTTTTAGAATTTATGTTCAATTTGATGTGTGGTTAAATTATAAATATTTGTTTATGTTCAGCTGTTTTTTTCGTTGGATTTCGCGGGGGTTCGTGTCCGGATCTGTAGTGATTGAGCTCTGATTAAGTTGATTAATCTCTTTTTTATCGCTTTGATTTGCTTCGTTTTTATTTTTGTTTTGTTTTTTTCGGTCTTAGTTCATTTTCCGTTTGGTTGCTGAGAAAAGGAAATAAAAAAATTCAATGAGATTTCGTAATTTTTGTGTTTTTCCACTAGAAGAGTAAGCTCAATTACGTTTTTTACAATTAATTGAGTCGAGTGATATTCCTTCATAATTTGGTCCCAAAAAATATAAACTGAAAGGCTTTTCCTTTATTTTCTCAGCAACCAAACAGTCAAGTTTGTGCTTTTCTTAGCTCAGACACAAATTTAATCATGTCTTTTTCATTGATTCAGTCAAATCTGCTAAATTGCTATCTTTGGCGATGAATTCTTCACTCATTGATCTAAATTTTTTGCCAACTCTTCATACACTGTTATTTTGGGTGGTTATTTGGCCTTTCATTTTGGACTTTAAACTAAATGTAAAAGAGATTCTGCTTAGATTTTCTTTTACCCTATCTAGATTTTGGTCAGATTTATGTTGTCTGTTTCTGATTTGAATTTGATCAGCTTTGGCAATACATGTTTCTTTTAAATTTCACATGTAACACTCAATTAATTGTTTAACAGTCTTTTTAAAATCTGTATCATTTTTTTTCTCCTTGTTCTCTGATCTTTATTTCATGAAAATTTTATTAATGTAAATGTGTAATTGTTTTGATTTTCCTTTATTACTATGATTGTGACTATGATTCAGCTGCTTATCTTGCATTCTTTTACCTTCCTTTTTGGCTCATTTCATTGCTGATAATCCAGTGAAGAAGAGAGGATAATTGTTTATTTATTTATTTTTGTATTCAATGTGGTGATTTCATAAGAAACGAAAGTATAATGTCTATCTGATGCTATTCATCAAATTAATGTTTGTTTTAAATGTCTTGAAGAACTTGAGCACCTTTTTTTTTTGACTTGTGAAATGTTTTTACCGTCTTTTGTCATCAAACAGTGGCGCCTTTCTGTGCTGGTAAAACAGTGAATTTGTATTTGACCTTGTTCTCTCCATCTACTTGTTATCTGTAGCTGTAATTATGTGCCGAAAAGTCATATGTGCTATACAAATGTTATGTTCTTTTCTTATTTTACAACTTTTTATAAAGCTTTCTCAACTGTAGCTAATTCTGCTAATAAATTTCCGTTGTCATTATATTATTTGTGTTTTTCTATTTTGTTTCCCCCTAATTGTTCATCCAATATCTCTAGGCCCCTAGCTGGTTTTGGTCATCAAGATCAAGTGTTGCAGTTTGTCTGGATTAGAAATAGTGGGTTGTTTTCCTTCCCATTTTTTTCTCTTTTCCCCTAGATGTCATTATGTAAGTGATTATTGTACATATTGTTGTTTTTGTTTCTTGCAGCTGTCCATTTATAAGTTCATGTTCTTGCTTTATTTTTTCAAAATATTATTTTTGTGATATCTTTCCAAAAATACAAAATCAAAAAACAAAGAAAACTTGGGATTGAATACATTATCCACTTTCATGCAATAATGTTTGTCGTATTAACCTGTCAATCATATTCATATGTTAGAGTCCTTAGCCTTTCATTGCACAGCCTGTTGTAGTTAATCAGAAATCTTTAATTTCTTGGTTGGACTTTTTATTTTTGTGTGGATAAACCTCTAACCTTAATTGCACTCTCAGCTATAAAATTCTTGTCATTTGATGAATTCTTTCTTCTCATCTTCCAGTCTCTAGTAACCTATAACTATGAAGTACGGGTACTCCAAAAATGGTGTCATACGAGTACCGGGTACTTACTGGGTGTGGGTATGTGTACCGTTGTACTGGTACTCATACTGGGTACGGCAAATACGGTTGGGTACGTAAAATACGGTTGGGTACGTAGTGGGTATGGCACAGGTACATCGTGGGTATAGTAGGGGTACGGCGAGGTTTTTATTTATTTATTTAAATTTATTTATTTTTTTGCAGTTAGAATTTGTTACGGCCTTTATTATTTTGCTTTCAACTTCAAAAATCAAGTAATTTATTTTCAACACCCTTTACCCATGAGTCATGGTTTTACTCTATTTTGCATCTTGTTTTAGGCAATCAAAAAAGAAAAAGAAAGAATTATATAACTTTTTAGACAACTTATTCTCTTTTTAGTTTTAATATTGAAACTTTGATTTGTATGTTAGATATTTAGCTATAAATTTAATATATATATATATATATATATTTTGACATACCCTAGCCTTACTTGGACCTTAACCCTACTTTTTAAAGAATTTGCTATATCGGTGTACCCGTATCCGTACCTGCACCCATGCTTCATAGCAAGTACCACTTGTTAATGGTTCCTTGCCTTTTCTTGGTTCCTCTTTCAAACCAGTTATCATGTATTGATGTAACCATATGAAGTTTCATGTACCAAATTGATGTATCACTGACATGCTACTGCCTGTTTTGCATATCCCTTTTGGTTTGAATGGACAATAGTAGCATGTGGAGACTAAAAGGTTGACTTGATTGCTACAGGGACCTGTACGTAATATCAAATTTTCCATCTATCTTTCTAGTTATATATGTGCACAAACGTACAAGTGTACACAGAATTTTTTGACCTCCGTGGTATGTGAATGTGGGCATCGAATATGTCAAAGCAAATGCAAGCTGGACTAAATTTTTGATCTTTGTCCTGTATATAAAGTGATCATTTTCATGGCCAATTTATCACGTTTTGTCACTTCTATAGCTTTGCCTGGTCTGCTGACACTTGAATTGAGAAAGAATGTATATTTTTCTCTTTACATTCAAAGAAGATATTTTGTTATGCTAATGGGTGTCTCTCCATTGTGGAATGAATTAGTCTGAATAATACAGTGTCCTCCAATTTGAGCTTCAAATTTTGAAACTTAACAACAAATGATAAGAAATCAGCTCACTGGAAAACACAACTATTAAATGTTCATCATAACCTTTGATTGAAGGGCTGTGTATAATGCTGCCCTATAGAACTGTTCGGTTTCTGGTTGTTCATAAGTTCTCTTATAATTCCTTATGCTTTGCCACCTGGTGAAAATTTGTGCGTTGTAGGAAGTCACATATAGATAAATTTATTTTCTCTCTGTGTAGTCATATGTCAAGCATCATTTTGTTTACTCAACAGTGTCCCTTGATGATGTGATTGTTGCGAAACAGGATGGTCCGTGATCATGATGTTGCTGTGAAGAATTCAAGTTTCTGCCTTGGCTATTTTTGCTGATTAGCAGAAGTTCAGATTAAATTTCTTATAGCAAATGGATCGGCGGGATACTTCAGGTTTTGTGAGCGGGGGTGGGATGTACTCTTTCTGAGACATCTAATATTACTAACCCTAGTTTTGTAGTAAGTTTGTTTAGCCCGGAAGTCAGGCAGACTGTTCTTTTGCAAGTGAGATTTGGTTCAAGCAAGAGTGTCGCATCTTCGCTGTCGGTTCATGGATGCCAGTTTTCAGAATTTGCGATTTGCTGCTAACCTTTCCTTAAATGCATTCAAGAATCTGGGTAAGTCCATCCAAGTAGGAGTTGGAGATGATTATTGCATGGATACCGTCTTACGACTTGATTCTCCTGGTTCTTCCATCCCTTTAAAGTCTGCACCAAAGGGAATTAAACGGAAGTGGAGTTTGATTGATGGATCCAAGGGCCAGCAAGTAGAGTCTTCATTGCATCTAAAGTTGGGTCATTCCTCAAGTTCCTCGGACAGTAAGGGGAGTTCAGCAACCGCATGCACTACAGTGTCTTCGGCCAAAGAAACTGACGAGGAGTCCTCTATGGATCTTGACTTGGACTTTTCTCTTCATCTTGGGAATGAGAAGATTTCCATCCCAAAGAAGCATGCAAGCTCTAATCTGAAGGCACCTGATATGCAGCCCGAGGTTGACTTGCAACTGAGTCTCTCCACTGGGCCTACTGAATCTGATATCACTAGTGTCCATTTAAGCTCCACTCCATCTCAAAGTGTGGCAGAGATGCCAGTGGTCACTGGTGCGGTCTTGCATATGGATGAAGGATTATCATCATTACGTTGGAAAACTGGAAATTCTTTCCATCCATTGCCTACTCCAAAGAAAGCAGGGACTAGTCTCTTCCTCAATCAGGGTGTAAGAGAAATCCATCCAGCACCGATCGTTCCAGACCTGTCATCAAGCAGAGTAACAACAGAAGGTTCAGTCACCTGTACTTCCGGGATCATACAGCAACAACCGCAACAATCACGTAGTACTAATACTAAGATATGTCAGTTCAAGGGATGTGGAAAGGGGGCAAGAGGTGCTTCTGGCCTTTGCATTGCCCATGGTGGTGGCCGTAGATGTCAGAAACCTGGCTGCCATAAAGGAGCTGAGGGGCGAACAGTTTACTGCAAGGCCCATGGGGGTGGTCGACGATGTGAATTCCTAGGATGTACTAAAAGTGCTGAAGGACGCACAGATTTCTGTATTGCGCATGGTGGTGGGCGGCGATGCAGTCATGAAGGATGCACTCGTGCTGCTCGAGGTAAATCTGGATTGTGCATTCGGCATGGTGGTGGCAAAAGATGCCAGAAAGAAAACTGCACAAAGAGCGCAGAAGGTCTCTCCGGTCTGTGCATATCACATGGAGGTGGCCGTAGATGCCAGTATCTGGCATGCAACAAAGGTGCTCAAGGTAGCACGATGTTTTGCAAGGCACATGGAGGTGGCAAAAGGTGCACGTTTGAAGGGTGCACCAAGGGTGCAGAAGGGAGCACACCTTTTTGCAAGGGCCACGGTGGAGGGAAAAGGTGTTCATTCCAGGGTGGTGGGGTTTGCCCGAAGAGCGTGCATGGGGGGACATTATTCTGTGTGGCGCACGGGGGTGGAAAGAGGTGTGCCGTGCCAGAGTGCACAAAGAGTGCACGGGGTCGGACTGATTTTTGTGTCCGTCACGGTGGGGGCAAGAGATGCAAATTTGAAGGGTGTGGGAAGAGTGCACAGGGCAGCACTGATTTTTGCAAGGCACATGGAGGAGGTAAGAGATGTATCTGGGGACAGCCCGGGTCAGAGTTGGGCCTTGGTGATGGACCATGTAACTCATTTTCTAGGGGGAAGACTGGGCTATGTACGTCACATGGCGCTCTGGTTCAGGACAAACGGGTACATGGGGGTGCCACCCTGGTAGCTATGGTCCATGATCCTAAACCTAGCAGACCCGAGAAGATGAAAGAGGTTGTTGTCAATGCTGAGGGTATGCATGTAAATATTATAAAGATGGATAGTGGTGGTGCGACTTTTCCTGGCCCTGCCCATTTTAATTGGAAACAATTTGGACATGAGCAAACTCGTCGTCCAGTTGTTGGAAGTCTATCAGCAACTCCAGTTTTGGTTCCGGAAGGTAGAGTGCATGGTGGAAGTCTTATGGCAATGTTGACAGGAAGTTCTGGACTTGGTTTCAATGGCAGTAAAAGTGTCGGCAGTGGTCCATCGCAGCCAGAGAAATCCAACATGATGCCCCATAACTGGATGTAAGCCAATTTCACTACCTTGGTATCAATTTGGTCTTCGTAGTCATGTCCAGTGCCCTTCACTCCTAAGGTTTGTTAAGTGGGGTTTGATGATGAGTACTCCTCATGCTATGATGATTTAAATGGGTGAGAACTTCTGAAGCGTCGTTTTCTCTGACCACCCTTTGTGTAACAACAGGGAAACTCAACTAGGGATTGTACACCTTTTAGCCTTTCTGAGTGTGAGTCGGTTGGTCAGTCTGTAAATAGTGATGTTTAAAGTCAGTGTGGTTCTTGTGAATACACTATACAAATGTGTAGGGGTCAGTCAATTGTTCTCAGTATAATAAAGCTCCACAGTTTGGTCAGGAGCACATTCCCTGTTGCAATGCTTCTTGGTGATATATATATTTTTTAATTTTTTGTTTCATTGCGAACTATTTTATTAGTGAAACTCAACTTTGGGCAATAAACGTTGGTTTTGTAACATTAAGAATGATTCAGATTGTTGAGAGTAATTTAGGGGAGAGAACCTAGCTTAGCAGTGAAGCCTGAACCCTTTAGTAGGTTTCTGAAAATGTGAACCACAATGGAAATGAGAATGCCATACTTTTATGTTCACTTCAGAGACGAGGAATCACCATTTGCCTTGGAAATTGTTATGCAATCTTTTGAAATGTGGCCAGAAATTTTCTAAGTTCCATTATCAAAGCATGTCTTAAAGCTTTGTTTTTTTAATTTCTAGAAATTTTTTTAGTAAGGTCAGCAACAGCCTCATGTTACGACCTCACATCGGAAGAATATGCTGCTTGACCTTGTGAATATACATTTTTTTTGGTTACCCCTCCATTGCAAGGTGGTTTTCGAGGGTGAGATGTACCTAGTGTTTGAATTATTAAGGGGTGTAAGAAAAATCAATGGAGTTGAATTGATTAACTGCTCAAAATCATTGAAATTTCAATTTACACTATGTTTTTCATAACATACGGTTTGAAATTTTTTACACTAATACAAATTAAACCGATCAAAGTATTATATTTAAATTTTTTTATATTTTAATTCTTTGAATATTATAAAATAAGTAACGAATCTAATACTTTTTGTGATAAAATTAGGGACAGACATTTATAGAGCAACCTCTATACTTTTTTTTTCATTTATTTTCAATATGATATTATGATATTCTATAAGTTTTTATAAAACCCTTTAGAATTTGTTTATACACTAAAGCGACTATGAAAAGGTGATTTGGTTCTAAACTCCCTCTTAACACCGACCAAACCAAACCATTTATTTAGGAGTTGTTTGGGATGTTCTAAATAAGTGCACTTTTTAACTTTTTATGAAATATGAGTTGGGTTTGAAGTGATGTGGTAGAGAGGTGATGTGACTTAAATAAGATGATGTGACTTAAATAAGATCATGACTTTTTAATTTTTTGACTTTTTTTGAAGATGCTAGACTTATCCTTAGTATCATAGTCAGTCATCACGTTGAATATGGGATCGGCTCGCGCGGTTCGAACAGCGGAGAGAGCCACTTGTAGGTTGAATGCTAAGGTAGTGAAGCAATTGTCACTATCGGCTGTGGGTGTCCAATTGTGGTTTTTTCCACGTTAAATCGTTGTGTCTCTTTATCTTGATTGTTTGATTGTTTGATTGGGATTGTTATATTCTGCTTAAAATTGATACATAATCACAAATCAACATCTAGGGGATTCCTAGATTTTTCACTAAGGTAGTGAAGCAATTGTCACTATCGGCTGTGAACTGTGATGATATGAATACACAAAAGAAATGAATAAATGCCGCGATAAATAACATTTTTTATTATTTAAACATCTTTCATTGAAAATAATTGATACTAAGAGACAGAAATTGAAAGTAGCTATACCATGTGCAGCATCTGATACCTACCAAACGCGTCATTCTCAGAACAAAGTAGTACTTTCCATTCCAAGAATTAATTCTTTTATTTCTATAACTGATGACAGCAATTTTCGAAGCTACTGCTCTTTTTTTTCTGTTCTTTTCTTTTTTTTTTTGTTTTTGCTTTTTCCTTATTCTCATTCTCTGTTACATCATACTATAGCTATCATATATCAAATTCAGTAGTAAATGGATAGTTTTTCCTCTTATTGAACCTCATACTTGAACTTGGCCATCTTAGAAAGCTCATCAACTGCTTCAACCAAGTGATCGAGCCGAGCAACAAACTCAATAAGCAATGAAGTAAAAGTAGCGAGCGACAATGCTGCAGTGCTCTCAAGTGCATTCATCCTCGGTATAATGTCTGCACTAAAACCCCCTTCTTCTTCAAAAGCATCCACTTCTCTAGACGGCCACGAATGTAGCCTCCTTGATTGCTTTCTCATCATCTCATGATAAGACTCTGTTGAAGCAGTATTGTTTTGGGTTGTTTGATTTGTGTTCTGATCAATGGCGGTGTTGTCAAGATCGTCTAGTTGGTTGGAGAGGTCGTCAAGTGTGGATGAGAGGGCATGAGGTAACTTAGGAATTGGCTTTGATGCGGTATTGGGTGATTCGAAATTGGTTGTTAGGAGATAGGAATGCAAGTCTATGGCATGTTGGAGTCGCTCTGTTGAGCTGTGAACCCTTTTGAGAAGAGAGGTTTTCAGGGTTCGTTTCATGTTACTTACATCTCTGCCTAGACTTCTGACTAGCTCTGCAGCCTGGCTTGTAGCGTCTCGGATTTCTGCTTCAAATGTGATTCTTAGATTGTAAGGGGCCTGAAGAAAACAGAAGGAAACATGTGTCAATTAAGATGTTTGTAATATTAATTCAAAACAAAAGAAGTACTTATTAATATGTAAGAAGGTACTTAATTAAATGACTTCCACTCAAGGTGGATATATTCAAGTACTTGTGCACTAGAAGTAGTAGTTGAGTAACTTTAGTTATTGTCGCTATTTCAGTTCCCTCTTCACTGGTTTCCGCTTGTTTGCTAAAGCTGGTTTTCAGAAACAAAGCTCATTGTCTATATATAGTCTCAATGTCTTTGAAGGCTAGGGTCATTGGTATGCCCTTTACCCATTAGGGTAATTCGTACTCAGAAAAATATTCAAAATAATGTTCAGAATTTGAAATGTGTAAATCAAATTCATTAATGTGACCCACACCAAACTACACTATAAATTCAAATTTGAACACTTCTTTGATATTTTTTTTCTGGGTACATAGCATTTCTATTTTAAATACAAAACGGGTATTTCTTTTTATTGTGCTCAAACAATTGTTAGCCAATTAAGTTTGTTGTGCTCACCATAGATGCTGTTACACCAAAGACAGGAGGTGTATCTGACAGTATATTAATGATGACGAAATAAGGGAAGTTTCTAAAAAAATTTGAGTCAATAAATAAGAGGTATTGCAGTGGCTTTCCTCAAGTAGTGTTTTTAACCTTACTTAGGTTGTGTTTGGATCATTGCGGATCTTCTAAAGTCCCTCATGTCTAACCCCCATTTAAAAGCCATACATAGTTTGCTTGCTTGTCTCAACTATTTCACCCATCTTGTTGCTTTCGCTTTCCAAATCTCTACCAGATCCATGATCCAAAACAAAGTCTTAAGGTGTGGCTATTTAGCTAGGAGGAACATGGAATACATGTAAAGCTTCCGAGTGAAATTCATAAGAATCTTTGTCTTTCTATTGATGAAAAAGCATTAATGAAGTGGAGGAGAGATGCTTTTGATCATAGAATAATCCAAAAGATTATCATCTTTAGCAAAGTTTTTTCCTTCTTTGGACCACAACACAACAATAATAAGAACTAATGCATAGCATAATTCCTCAACTGTTTGATTTGATTCTATTTGCACCTTTTGCTTTTTGTTTCCATTACCCTTTCTTCTAAACCATAAAAAAGTCTTACAACCTTTGTGACTTCAATTAATTCTTGGTATATTCTCAAGCTGTCCACATTAATTTGCATTTGCAATTGGGACTAGTGAATGGGTACTGATTCTATTAAGTGGACTGTGGATATCCAGCATATCATGATATGTCCATTCTAACCAGTATCAGTATCAATTGCAGAGTAACAATATCGGTTGTAATGTAACGGTTTCA